GGAGCCTGATGCGGGGCTCGATCCCAGGACCCTGGGATCATGACCTGAGCCGAAGGCAGACGCTTAACGACTGAGCCACCCAGGCGCCCCAAGGAGCATAATGAACTCTTAATGGGGGCAACAGGGTGAAGATGGGCAAAGCAAGATATAGCCGCAAGAGCAAGAGGATTTGCTGAGGCTGAATCATTCTTCCTGGTGATTATTTTTATTCTGAAAAGCAGAGGCCAGAGGTCTTCTCAGGGGTAGAGTTTCTTTTTACTTTTTCCATTCCAACTTATGCCAAACTACATTGGTCAGGTCAAATAACCTCCCGGGACTCTCAGTGGGGCCAGGGTCGTCTATAACGCAGCCCATTAATCCACTAACAGGTCCCATTAATGACTCCTGTGGGCAAAAGGGCCTGTGGGCCCCATTGTGTGGGCGTGGGTTTCCCCTGGATCATTGAGCCCCGTGCCCAAGAAGTGGGGTCTTCGGATTAATCCCAGCTCTAGTGCTGACAGCAGAGATGGAGCAGCATCTAGAAGCAGACATGCCCGGCTTCTGGAATGTTAGCTTTGCCACTTACTCTCTGTGCAATCTCAACAATTTACAAAACCTTAAAAGCTATAGTCATACCATCTCCTGGGGCATTTTTCACAGTCTTAAGATTGTCGCCATTTGCATGATGGGAAGAACTTGCCACTTGTCCACTTTCCAACGCCATTCATTTGGGAATGCCATTCATTTGTTCGTTGTCTTCATTCATTCATTCCATGTGTATATTCACTGTCTACCATGTGCCGGGGCTGGCCGGTGTCAGAGACGATGAGAAAGACTCAGACCTAGCCTGGTCAGACAGGGGAGACAGGCACGCGAAGAAGGGACCGGAACCAAGCACACTAAGCACAGCAATAAGAGAAATGGAGGTGCTGGTGAAGCACAGGGCCATGGCCTGACACCCAGATTTGGGTCAGGAAAGACTTCCAGAGTGACAGAGAAGCTGAGAACCAAAGGAGGGGGAGGATTTAGCCAGACAAAGAGAAGGCGTAAGGAGAGGCGACACGGGGAAGTGTGCGGCATCACAGACAGGGAGGGGAGGCAGACCTTCTTGCCACGCCACAGTTCCTCATCCTTCAAAGAGAGAAGATCACCGACCTGGCCGGGTTCTTCTGAGGATGAGGGGGGGGTGACACATGGCAAGCACTTAGCTCAGTCACTGACGCATAGATGAGGCCAAAACAGCCAGTTATCCCAAATGGCTGTCAGCAAGGTCATAGCAGTAATAAGAGCAGCTAACAATTACTGCGCATTTGCCATTTGTCAGGCCCTGTGCTCCCTGCTTGTGGAGATGGTTGTGCTTACTCCTCCCGACAATCCTATGAGGCAGGCGCCAGTACTATGCCTACTTTAGATAGAAGAAAGCGGACAAGAAGGAGTTGTGTTCTTCGTCCAAGACCACACCGCCGGAGCCAGGATTCCGTCCCAGCCTGTCTGTCCCGACAGCAACAGACCACCTGCTTCACGGGGCAGAGATGACACAGAGCTGGGGGGACTTTATCGAAAGGCACCACCTACCTCCTCACCCAGAGGATGGCTTTGAGAACCTGGCGGAAAGCCAAGGCTGACATCAGGGCTCTCTGGACCTTTCTCTCTGTGATAGCAGTTAGCTGATCTCGCTAATGGATTATAGTTCTCGGCTTTAGATGTGACACCCTCCTCTCTGTGGGCTGCAGGAAAAGTCCAGAGTGTGTTGACATATGCTCCCTCACCGAGGCAAGCCACGTAGTTGTTTTATAAAAGAGGATTTGCTGCAGAGATGTTTCTGAGGCCTCTGCCCAGGGAGCTGGCACACGTTTATAATTCTAAAGAACCTCCAAACCGCAAGTCTGGGATTGAGATTCCTTCACCCGGTGGAGGAGAGGAAGTTCAAGAGAAAAGAATTTGACTTTGTTCCTTGCCCCCTGTCAAGAACGGGGGATGCCTAGAGCACACATGTGCCTCTGGTCGTTCCATTTGGAACCGCTTCGCTGGGCTCACTGCATTCCTGCCACAAGTTGTCAAGACAAGGGAAGCCCAGCCGCTGTCAGTCTCTGGCCTCCTTGGATGGATGGCCCACCTGTGGTCCTTCGCCCTGGTCTTCCCTGAATTCCAATATCCATTTCCTGTTCTAAACAGAGCACCTCGCTGCTAACAAGAGCTATATAAGCTCGCTCAAGTTAAGGTGGGTAACAATGCCACAAACTCGCTTATGGGCACGGGAACTGAAGTGCAGCTGGGTATGAGCACTAGAGCTGGGAAGCCGCCGAAGCCATGGTAGGTCGCAATGTCCCTCATTCTGTCTCATGCTTCATCTCTTCCTCGGCCACAGCTGGATTTCTCTGCTTACGCATCGCCCAACGGATCTCCCAGACCCAATCTAAATGGCCTCACAATTCTAGTGGCCACCACCCACGGACCACCAACTCTCTCGCTGAGAGTTCTAGCACGGAATAAGAGGATGACGAGACGATTCCATTCCAGAAAGAGGTTGGAGGAGAGCGAGAGAAAGAAAGAGAATTATTAAGTCATTCTCACCTGCCTGTTGGTGCCCACCGTGGTGTACTCAGCTGTGGCTGGTGACCAGGGCCATGGGGACTGTAAGCTGTCCTTGCCAGGGGCTGGGAGGGGGCTTATTCCAGAAAGGGACATTGAATATTGGCTTTCTTACCTGACATGGTGAGGCATTGGTTCTATTGATTGCTATGTGCCTGTAGGTGAGGTTAAGAGATACCTCTCTCTTCTCCTACCCCCTTGGCCCCCTCCTCTCTTATTCACCTGCCAGAACTCCCAGTCTGGAGAATCCTCATCCCCTGGGCACCACTGGGGCCAGGCCAGCCACTGCTGGATCTGCAGGGGCCAGAGAGGACCTTCCCAGAGGACACGTCAGGCCTGAAAGCAGCTAACATGTTACCCACTTCCCCCAACCTTCCAGAGCAGAGACTTCTATCCAGGGACCATTGAAAGCCCTTGTGCCACCCCTGTGGGAATGGAGGGGGTGCAAACCCTAGCACCATTTTCTGTGTGTTCGTGCCCGTGTATCTTTTATTCCTACCTAGACTGTCTTGGCTTATTCTTTAACATGAGAATGCTTCTCCTTCACAGGAGGCTGGGTTTCCCTCAACACCTTTATACCTGGCAAAAGCTGGTGCTTGCTGCTTTCCATAGTATTCAAGGGGCCTCGGGTTGATTACGGAAATGGAGCCTGTCTCCGTGGAATGCTGGCTTCTCCTGATTTAATGCATTTGTTTCTCTGCTCCTTTCTCTCTGGTGTGGCCGCCCCTCCTCGGGTGTTCAGCTGCAGAACTCTCTGAAGACTGATTTGTGTCTCGATCAGGGTCCAGACACAGAGAACGTTCCCATTGTGTACATCTGCCACGGGATGACACCCCAGGTGAGTTCCCCGAGAGAGCCCCCTGCTGGGGGTGCACTCACGTATGTCCGGCATGGGCAAGGATGGTTAAACTCCTGTCATGGCGACTCTAGGCCCAGGGGCCTCCGGCGCTTTTCGTTAGGAGTATGCTCATGACTAAAAGGGGAGAGTCATACCTGCCTTACCTGGAAGGAGGCTGGGATAGCAGATGCTGGCGTGCCTGGATCCTCGGGGGTGGGGAGCAAGGAAGAGGATCAGTTTCTAAAGAGGAACACCTGCCTTTTTTGGAGAGACTGTGGGTAAACTGCAGTCCTGGTTCTGGCAATCATGCCCTTTCCGAACAGGAGGGAACCCAAGGGTCCCTCGAGCTCCCTGACACCTCAGAATCCCTTCAGAGTGCCATTTCATGGCTTTTGGGGCTCTGCCCTTTAGTAGATCACAGCTGCAGCCAAAATTTATAGCCACGAGAGCTTTTCTAGCTCGTGTGACCTTCTCCTGGTGGAGAATGAAGGGAAGCTACCAGGAAAATAAGTTATCCTAGGAAAAATCAGCCAGTCACAGCGTAGGCTTCAGATATCCAAAGAGGATGCTGAGACAGAGACAAGAGAAATGGCCTATTCAACAAAGTACAATGGACAACCATTGCCCATGGAGGCCATAGACTGACCTGTTCTGATTTGACAACATTTTCAGAGTTTACTTATCTTACCTCCAGTAGTGCAAAAGATTTTTTTTAAAAGATGGTATAGAATGTATGTATATTTGTGCAATTATACTGCTGTGTTTAAAAGGGTCATTACCCACCTCAACACACAACCAAAAGCAATCATGATATGTGTGTGCGTCACTGGCGTACTGTGCTGGGATTTCCGCTGTGATCTCCACCAGCTCATCGTTTCTGTGGGCCCAGCTGCTGTGGCCTCACCGACTGGTCGGTCACAGGTCAGCAGATCACACTATCCCCACACCACACAGTATAGCAACTCATTCTTCATCCTTACAACACTGTGATATTTCTCACGGATGACGATTTTTTTTTTTTTTAAAGATTTTATTTATTTTTTTTTGTCAGAGAGAGCACAAGCAGGGGGAGCGGCAGGCAGAGCAGGTAGAGGGAGAAGCAGGCTCTCTGCCAAGCATGGAGCCCGATGTGGGACTCGATCCCAGGACCCTGGGATCATGACCTGAGCCGAAGGCAGACGCTTAACCGACTGAGCCACCCAGGCGTCCCACGGATGACGATTTTTATATAAACTTTTTATTGACGTCTAACATAGGTACAGACAATAGACAAATTGTAAGTGTACAGATTAGTGAGCTTTCAGAGCAAACACACCCACATAACCAGCACCTGGATGAATAAAAGGAGCATTATTGCCTGATTCTGAATTTGATATAAATAGGATTATAGGCTCCACAGAGCCACGGGGGTAATGCTGCCACCCCAGTGGGCCTGGAGGGCAGAGCGTCAGGACAAAGAGGTTATTCTCAAGCCTTGAGATCTAACGGAATTAGCCTTGCCAGGTTTTGGACTTGTCTGAGACCATCACCCCCTTCCTTCCAACTTCCCCCTTCTGGAATGCGCTTGTCTAGCCTGTGTCTATCCCACCATCATATTTTGGAAGCACATAACTTATCTGATTTCACAGGCTCTCAGCTGGAGAGAAATTTTGCCTCAGGATAAATCGCACCTTGAGCCTCATGCACATTAGAGGCTACTTAGATGATATTTGAACTTTAGACTTTAGAGTTGATGCTGGAATGACTTAAGACTTTGGGGGCTGTTGGGATAAAATGAATATATTTTGCATGGGAGAAGGAAATGAACTTGGGGGTCCAGGGGCAGAATGCTATGGACCGAATGGTATCACCCCAAAATTCATGTGTTGAAACACTAATCCTGACTGTATCTGGAGTAAGGAAGCAATTAAGGTCAAATAAGGTTATGAAGGTGGAGCTCTGATCTGATAGAATTAGTGTCCTTATAAGAAGAGACACAGAGAGCTCCGTGTCTCTCTGTCTCTCTCTCCCTGCCATGTGACAACACAGCAAGAAGGAGGACATTAGGAGGCTAGGAAAAGAGCTCTCATTAGAAACTTAATGTACCAGCACCTAGATCTTGGACCTCTCAGCATCCAAAACTGTGTGAAAATGACTTTCTGTTGTTTAAGCCACCCAGCCGGTGACATTTTGTTGTGATAACCCAGGTCAACCAATATACAGTGAAACAGTCTCCCAAATTAATTATCTCAATTTTTACTCCCACCAACTGTATATTAGAGTTCTTGTTGTTCCCCACACCCTTGCCACCATTTAGTATTCTCTGTAAATCTGTATTATTTCCAAATGATAGACATCGTGGCAGGTGTAGAGTCATATCACACTGTGGTTTTAATTTGCATTTCCCTGATTATTAATGCAGTTGGGCACCTGAGTTTTCAGCTCAGAAAATCCCCACGTTGTTCTTGAGTATGGGCCAAGGTGGCCAGGTCACAAGTAGTTTGGTCTTTTTGTAAATTCCCTGCCCGCTTGTTCATGCTTGCAGCCCAGGAGACAGTGAATGAACTTGCTTTTAACAAATCTATGTGGAAATCTGCAGGGTTGTTGCTTATCTGGACCACCGGGCAAATGTTGAGTGTTTCCTCTGTGGGATGGTGGATGTCAGTTTGAGCAAAGGCTGCCAGTCTCCCAGCTGCTGATGATTCAATATGGGGCCGTCTGTCCTGTGGTTAAGAGCATGGATTCTGGAATCAGATCGTCTGTGTCCTAATATCAGCTTTGACACTCTCTAGTTGCCAAGTTTTTAAATGGGCAAGGTTTTAAAATGTGGGCCTATTTTATTTTCTGTAAAATACAGATTAATGATGGTATATAGCATAAAGGTTACTGTAAAGATTTAATACATGTCAAATATCTAAAAGAGTGCCTGGCATATAGTAAGTGCTCAGTGAGTGTTAGCTAATAATATTGCTATAGTACTATACTATTATTACTGCTCATTAAGCCTTGCTCAGTATATATGCCCTCAAGATTCTAGCTCCAGCCCACAGTGAAATGACTTTCCTTAACCTCATGCGCCATGTGCCATGGATTCCAGCCCTGGTCACAGCCCACCCATAGACTAATGGAGCATCACTGAGTTTCTGTGGCAGCAAAAATGCAGTGGAGTAGGGGAAAGGGGGGGCTTCAGGAAGCCTGAGTTCTAGGCTTGGTCTTGCCACACAGTTGCAATGTCACCTTAACCCTCCCTGGACCTTTATTTTGTTTTACTCTTTTATTGAGATATGATTTTACACTAAAGTACACACATCTGAAGTGTACAGTTTAATGAATTTCCACATTTGTAGACAACTGTGTAGGCACCATCCAGATCGAGCCCATCATCCCACTGGGCTTCCTCATTCCTCCTCTTGGTCAATACCTCTACCCAAAGGTAATGACGATTCTGGTCCCTAGCACCACTGATTTGTCTCATCTGGGCCTGTCTTCTTCTCTGCAAATGGGGAAGCTGGGCTGGCCAGCTCTGGACCCAGCTCTGCCAGCTCTATCCACTTACCTCCAATTCTTCCTTTCTGAAATTCTGTTGGCCTGGGAAGCTGTGAGTCTGTGCTGTGCTTGCCAGGAAGGATGGGAGCTGCCTTCCCTTGGTGCTTTATGAATCAGCTTCTTGATGTAGATCTGCAGCAAGTCTTAAAGACTTGGGTCCCGGGCGCCTGGGTGGCTCAGTTAGTTAAGCGACTGCCTTCGGCTCGGGTCATGATCCTGGAGTCCCGGGATCGAGTCCCGCATCGGGCTCCCTGCTCAGCAGGGAGTCTGCTTCTCCCTCTGACCCTCCCCCCTCTCATGCTCTATCTCATTCTCTCTCTCAAATAAATAAATAAAATCTTTAAAAAAAAAAAAAAGATTTGGGTCCCCCTCCCCATTCCTCAAAGCCACAGTCGTCATGTGACTGGGCTGTGCAGGGAACATGGGGGCCCAGTTACCCTCTACCACCAGGCCTGTAGCTGAGGCGCACGGCTGTTAGTGCCCAGAGGTAAGGAGGCTGGAGACCGACCTCGGATCAAACATTTCCCAGAATGGGGTGGTGTAGGGACCGTGTTGAGTCTGGCCTGCCCAGTGAGCCTGGGCGAATGGGGTTCTCTGGAGATGGGCTGTGTGTCCTTGGTGGAGTTCATCCATCCACCAGAGATAGACACAGGTGCAGGGGATAAGCGGTGGGTGATAAGGCAGAGCCTCTGAGTGGGAAGCCTTCCCATAGGTATCTACTGGCCCCTAAGAACTTTGCTGGCTCATGGAGGGAATGAGAAAAGGAGGAGCTCAGGGATATCACCTTAGTATGAGGTCAGGGTACAACTCATAAGGGGACTATGGGCAAATACAGACCCTGAGGATTCTCTGAATCTCCTAGACTTGGTCCAAATCAGACCCTCAATATGTATTTCCAGGGACATTTTTCCCCTGACCGGCAGCTCGCTCTCAGCAGAATCTCTCTTGTTACCATGGCCACAGAGGCCAAGGAGAGACCAGGGAGGGTCATATGTGCACAGATGGGACTGCCACGTGGAGTTGTGCAGTGCATCACATATACGTCCTCAAGATTCTAGCTCCAGGGGAACAATATGGCACCTCCCATTGTTGTCTGGGGAGTAGAGATCAGCCCCAGGTGACAGTCTTTCTGACCTCTGCTATGAAAACTCACACATTCCTCCCTACGTATCACATGTGATAGGAGGCTTGAAAATGTTGAAAGGCAAATGAAGAGGCAATATATAGTGATCAAGAAACAGACTGCCTGGGTTCAAATCCCAGCCAGACCACTTACTACTCAGGTTCCTTGAGTAGGTGTCATAATTTCCTTATGCCTCAATTTCCTCACCTGTATGATAGTGGTACCTATCTTACGAGGTTGTTATAAGAATTTTAAAAATCGATGCACATAAAGCATTGAGACAACAAGCGTGGGACACGGTCACTGCTTCCTAGATACTGGCTTTTATTTTACCAGATTGGTAGAGACTCGAGACCATGTCCTTGAGAACGGGAATTGTTTAGCCTGGAAAGGAGCAGATTTGAGAGGGACATGAAAACTTACAAAATTATAAAGACACAGATTTTTGGCTGAGTATAAGGAAACTCTTCCCAGTCATTGGCTCAGGTGATACTGTGACCTCTCCATCATCAGAGATGTCCAAGTCAAGTTTGGCGAGCTCCAGGGGCATTATGAAAGGTTCCTATATCATGTAGATTCTTAAGCTAAGAAATCCCTAAGGGCCTTCCCACCCTGGAATTCTATGACTTTTTAATTCATAAATCAGTGAGAGTCCATCATGTACCTGAGAGTATTCTTGGCCCTGGGAAACAGTCATGAACCAGACAAAAGTCCCTCCCTCATTAAGTTCCCATTCTATTGCTGGAGGCAAACTATTCTCGATTTTCTCATCCTCAAATCTTCACCACAGCTGGGACTTGAACTCTTCTCTGTCCTCTAAGAATTACATGTGTGGCCAGAGTTGAGCTGCATGCCTTGGATTTCAGCCAACCACAGCCAAGAACAGTGAAGGAGGAGAAAGGTCAAGAAGGCAGGATAGCAAACTAGCCTCGTTTATCCTGCAGACTTGGAGAGTCACTTCCCTTCCTTGTTTCCTACTTTCAAATTTCTAAGTTTATCTATTTGAGGTTTTAAAACCAGAAAGAATCTGTATCAATCAGGTAATAAACAATCCTCAAAACTCTTTACCATTAACCAAACAAGTTTGTCAATTCAAAAAAGTAACACGTGATTCTTAAACAAGTTAAAATGAACATGTGACAAAAACTTAGTTGATTCATTCATAAGGGAACTAGAAAGAAGGTTAAGCAGGTACTGAGAGCATCTGAGGAGCTCAGGATCTGCAGACATTTTCTAAAAAAGAACATTAGAATAAGATTGCTAGATTAGATACCAAAGTGGTCAATGCCCTGTAGGGAAATAAAATCATAGACTTTAGTGTGCTCTTTACTACCCAGGCAGAAATCTGGAAGTTAGTATTTAACTTCCTAGTGTCTGGGTATTAATCAAAAGGTAAATAGCAAAAAAAAAAAAAAAAAAAGGAAATAGCAAAGTCAAGCAATTGTCTTGGAAAATTGCATACTCTTGGGTGGGCTTGTTAGACAGTGCCCCAGGATAGTAGTGAAAAGGGTAGACCACTTCCTCTCCCAGTTTGCCTTATTTCCAGGTGTGAGATATTTCTCTTCGTCTGTTCACAAAGTTGGCTAAAGGCGGAGGAACTCTCCAGGCCATTAGTGAATCAGATCCTCTTGCAGATGAACCATGGGGACTTGCCCCTGTACCATTTCCTAAGGCAGCTACCACAGAAGACCACAGACTGGGTGTCTCAAGCAGCAGAAACATTACATTGTCTCACAGTTCTGGAAGCTAGAAGTCCAAGAGCAAGGTGTCGGCAGGGCTGTGCCCCTCTGAAGGCACGAAGAAAGGATCTGTTTCAGGCCTCTCTGCTAGCTTCTGGGAGTTGTTGGCCACCAAGAATGGTAGTTGTGACGGAACAAGTCTCCCTACCTGTGGTGTTCTCCTGACGTGCACGCCTCTGTTCCTTGTTATAAGGATGCCAGCCATGCCCGATTAGGGCCCCCCCTCCTCCACTGTGACCTCATCCTCACTTAACGAATTACATCGGCAGTGACTCTATTTCCAAAGAAGGTCACATTCTGAGGTACTGGTTGGGGGGAGGGTTAGGACTTCAACATATGGATTTCTGAGGTACACGGTTCCACCCACAGCACCCCAAAGGGGAAGAGTGTGACTGGAAATCTGACTTTCACACATCAGATGAAAAGTGCCTCACATCGCTTCCTCTTCACGTTCGGTTCACCAGAGCCAATCATACGACCCCGCTAGCTCGCCCCCAAGGGTGTGGGAAGTTAGGGTTTTCTGCGTGCCCGGGAAGCCCATCTCTGCCACGGAAACTTAGATATTTGCTAAGTCCGTTTCACCTCCGACAAATAAGAAAACAAGAAAATGGCATCTGGAGATGGGAGCTGGCTGGCCTGAGCCCAGGCCTGCTGCCGCTCACTGGCAACCACGGGGCTAGGGAGGGTGCCTGTATTATGGTTTCTGGTTTCTCCTCCAGTTTCATTCATTTGTTCTTCAAACATATGACGGGTCGTCTTTCAAGAAGGCCCTATGGTTTAGAAAGTTTCATTTCCCTTAAGAAACAAATTTGGTCTAGTGATAGGAATGGTGTCATAGGGCAACTCATAGTGGGGCCCAATGGGGCCAAAAAACACTGTGGGCTGGAAAGAGGGGCTGGGTTCACGTCCATCTCTAAACCCCTTGAGAGATTCTGCTTACATGTTGTTTAAAAAGTTGACTCTGATACAGTTGTGATATTCTCAGCTGGCAGAGAAGGCCCTGGGTAAGAGAAAGCATGGTGTAACTAATCAAACTAGTGAGGTGAAGCTGCTGGGAAGCACGCTAATTGGTTAATGAGTAAATGTAACCATTTTATTTAAATTAGCAGCAAATTTCAAGCTATCCTCAAAATAACTGAGAATATTAGCCCTCATTAGTGTAACAGCCTGGAAAATGTCTTCTGCTGGGAAAAAATACAACAATGGGGTCTCCCCACAGACTATTTAATCAATCACTCCTTCACTCACTCATTCATTCATTTGCTCATTCAGGAAACATGCCCTGAGTGTTACTTTATGCCAAGAATTGGGAGAGGCAAAGGCATCTTTGCCCAGGCCCCGGACCTGGAGGAGTCCCAGTCTGGAGGAGGAGCCAGGCGCTTAGATCATGGCAATTCATATGATACAACCCTACTGCCCCCAACCAGCTTCTCGGGAGCCCAGCAGGATGGACAGTGCGAGGCAGGGTCTGGGGGTTTCTCCCATTCTCCCTGCCTGCATCTTCCCGACTACAGAAGGCACAGGGGAAAACAGTACGTTTCCTATGGGAAGGTAAATTCATGATTGTGGAAGAAAGAAGATGCAAGGATCTTTAATTCCCTCTAAAGTTTTAGAAGTACTTAAGCCACCATGTTGTGCTTCAGGAAGTGCATTTTGACTCTAAGTATGAAGATCAGAGTTGAGCTGAAAGAAGTATTCTATTTTTATGCAGAGACAAATGCCATGGTAGATCAGGTCGTATGTGTAATAAAAGTAAGAAAAATATGGAATTATAGGTGCACTTTGGTACCTTTGCTTTTGGGAATGGTTTGGAATTTCTTCTTCGTGTTTTAAATTCGCCATCAGCCGTGCATACGTACACACTTGCCAACCCCACTGGGCTCTGTAACGGAGCCGTGTCTCTTCTCCCGGTCTACGGAGCTTCTGGTGGCCATGCAGGGGGCATCGGAGGCCTCTCGTGCATTGTGCACCAACCCCCCAGATCTGTCGAGGAACATCTCGGAGACAAATGAGCAAGTTTTACTCTGTCGCCAAGAATTTAGATCACCAGCCGCTTCTCTGTGACCTGTGGGAGGTTTCTCCACCTCTCTAGGATTTTGTTTATAAGTCCATCAGAATGCCTGGCACTGAGTGGCTGTAAGGTTTGGAAAAACTTCCTTGAGTTGACTTCTTGGTTCTGATGTGATGACGTTGGGCCCCGCGCGCCTCCTCGTGTGTGGTTGTCGTGTGCAGCGGCAGCTGACAAGCGTCGGTACAGTGCCCCTATGGGGCTACAGTTTGAGGGGGGCCTCAACCAGTCTTGAAACTTCGGCTGACACCTCCAGCTCTGCATGATTCGGGGCCCGAGCCATAGATGGTTATCTGCACATCTTCATGCATTGGGCTCTGAGCTGTGGCATCTCCTAATTCCAGGGCCATCATTCCCACAGGAGGCAGATTAAGTGGTACCTCTAGCTGAATTACCAGCAGGGCTCTAATGGCCTAATGTGACCACACCTAAGCCCGTGCCTAGAACGTGATGGCAGGTGTTATGATGTCATGCCGAGGGCGGCCTCTCCAAGTATGAAAAGTGTGACACTTGAGGCTGGGATGAGGAGGGCTGACCGTCTGCAGTCATCCCTCCCTACCCCTGCACCACCAACCCAGGACCCCCAGGGCTGGAGTGGCTCCCTTCATCCTTGCAGCCCTGGAAGCATCCATGGAGATCAGGTGCCTAATGTTATCTGCCTGCATCCCAGGGCTCAGGAGCTCACTGCTCTCTGTGTCTGCTCATCAGTGAGGAGTGAAGGCGTTGTTTTCAACCCAGCCTGCAATCTCATTTCTCCCATAGAGCCCTACTAAAGAACAGGAACTAGCCTGTCCTGGGCCCCATGGCGGGTACTTGCCTGTGAACCTGACCCTGCACTTATGAGCTATGTCACCTGGGACAAGATACTTAATTTCTCTTTACCTCAAATATCTGTAACTTCAAACCTACTTTAACTACAGGCTACTATGTTATTATTTTATTGATATACATTATATTTATATAATACATATTACATATATATCTGTATATAATAGACACATTTTATTTATATTTATATTTATATATCCATATGTATAATTAGTATGTGTTAGTCTCCCTAGACCCCTTCCAGGTGTCAATTCATTTCATCTTTTTTTTTTTAATGTTTATTTATTCATGAGAGAGAGAGAGAGAGAGGCAGAGGGAGAAGCAGGCTGCCCGCCCAGCAGGGAGCCCGATGTGGGACTTGATCCCAGGACCCCGGGATCATGACCTGAGCCGAAGGCAGACGCTTAACCATCTGAGCCACCCAGGCGCCCCCAATTCATTTCATCTTAAAGCCATGTTGCCACCTTATTCCCAAAGATGTTGGCTCAAAGACATAAAGGTGTGCCCAAGTCCCCACCCCAGTGGGTGGCAGGTGCAGGCCCGTAGTGTGCAGAACACGATGGTAAGTGCAATTATGTCACAGCCAAGAGCACCCGTTCCCAGGGTGGAAGAAGGGGCTCACAGCTGGGAAGAGCAGGCTGATCACCTGGTGCTGTTTTCTCTCCCGGCACTGCCTCCCTTAGGCTCTAGATGCTTCCCCAGGGCACAGCCCAGGTGACCCGTCACAGGGCTCCTTCTCCATCACAGACAGCCCCTGGACCCACCCACAGCTAGCAGTCTGGAGCGTGTCCCTGCCCTGGGTGGGTGAGCGCCAGCCAGTTTGGCACCCTGCTTCCAGAAACCGCCTCTCTCCATTTCCCTTTAGGTGGCTGCACTCAGAGCCGACACATCAGCTCAGTGGGGGGGTGCAGGAACACAGGGAGGCGCCGATGGGGACGTTAGCACGCAGATGTTGGTGCTGCAGCCGTGAGCTACTCTCTGAGAGTCAGGGGAACTCTGCCCTGTTGCTGAAGCTTCGGTTCTAAAAAAAAAAAAAGAGCCGCTTGATTTGTTATTCATTCCACCTGCTACATTCTTCACTTCATGTCCAAACTCCACAATTAGAGTGGCAAACAGCAAGTTTTGCATGACTTTTATGAAGCTCCCACAGGCCGGGGAGAAGCAGTCACCACAGTGGGCCAGCCCTGGGGAAAATGGTCGTGGCTCACCACCCAGGGAGCTGCCCCTCCCGCCCGCCCTCCACTCCTGGCCTTTGGAGAGCTTTGCTTCTCAGGCCTCTGGCGTGGGGGCTGGTCACTGAACCAGCATCAGAGCAGCCAAATTTAGATCCAGCCTGGGACCTGGCTCTGTGCTCTCTGACAGATCACTTCCCCGCTCCAAGCCTCAGCTTCCTGGTCAGTAAAACGGGATGGAGGCTGGGGTTTAAATGAAGCAACACACCCAAATGTGCCCAGCACCAAGCCTGGCACGGGATCCGGCTCAGTAACGTGTGTTTCCTTCTAATTAGGGCAGCCTCTCAACATTTTTGAGAGCTCGTTAGTCTGCCTAGAGATAATAATACTGACAACAGCCTACGTTTCTTGTTTAGTGCTCCTCGGCGTCTCTGTAAATGCTCTGTGTGTATGATCACCGCGACTGCTCTCAGCAGCCCTGGGGAGTGGGTTCTGCTGTTACCCCATCTGTCCACGGGAGGAGACTGGGCCTCGGGGCAGTTATGTAACTTGTCAAGGGTCACAGGATCACCAAGCGGTGGCCCCTGGTGGCCCAGCGGCCAGGGCATGCTCGGAGCCGTGACTTAGGAGTGCCTCCCTGGTTTCATCAGATCTGTGGCCTCCGCTCTCAGGAAGTTCTCTGAGTACAGGACTAGCCACCACGGTGTGGCATGATGAAGGCCCGCGCCTCGGAGGTGTTCAGAGTGTGCTTGCTGGAGGAAGAAAGGCTGCGGTGACCATATAGGGGAGGGAGGATTTAGCCCACCGCCAGGCATGCTCTTCTCCTTAGGACCTAAAAGAAAACTGAGTCTGATTTGCAGTTTCCTCCCTGAAGGGACTATGGCAGGTTCCTGAGGCTAGGCTGAAGGGAATTTGAAAATACTACCTGGCTGGCCCTGCCCTTCCCCATCACCCGGGGCTCTGACCCAGAACACAGGTGGGTCAGCTCTCGCTTGATGCATAAGGACTCCTTACATATGCCTCTGGCCTTTGGGATTCCCCCTTCCACCCGAGGAACTGGGGCAACCATCTCCCCATTGCAAGACATCTAGTCTCAACATTCCCGGAGCAAAGCATCAGATCCAAAGGCCCCCAGTTCTCCCCACTTCCTACCCTTCAGGTCTCAGCCGAAGTCCACTTCTGCAGGGCAGCCTTTCCAGACCACCCCATCCCAGGTGCTCTCATGAGTTACTCTCAAATCTCTGCACCTGTCTGATTGCTTCACAGCTCTTGCAGTATACGGATAAATGTGATGAGAAGCACAGTGGGCGGTTAATCGTGAATTTGTCTACTTGTTAAACAAATAAGCTTACGATCTACCACTAGATCGTAAGTTTCTTGAGGGCAGGCACTTGCTTGTCCTCCAGTGTATCCCTCGAGCCTAGCACACTGCCTGGTACAGAGCAGGAATCTGTTTATCAAGTTGGTGGATTTTTGAGTAATTGAAGGTAGTCTTCCTGACAAAGACCTCCTAGCAGCCTGCCCAGCCACACTGGATCTGCCACTCATCAGCCTTCACCCAAAGCCTGACTCTTCTGTAAAATGAAGTTAAAAACATCCACCTGATAGAGGTTTTGTGAGGATTAAGTGGAGAAATACACAGGGTGCACAGCACCGAGCCTGGTACCCTGTAAATCCTCAGTCAATATACTGCAATTGCTATTATTTTTAGTAATAAGTTATTAGTGAAGATAAGATCTGGCAGGATCTGTAATCTCTTCTTTTAGACCCAGTATCTTTTCGTGGGGACCTGGGGATGGGAGCTGGAGAGGTATACCCTCCCCGACTGGGATGGAAGCCAGATCGTGTGTATTTTCTTGACGAGGGCCAGTTGTTATGGGGCATGTTGGACAGGAGTGGGGAAGGAGAGCCCTTCCATTGAGGCCTCTCCAGCCCCCATGCTTGCTGGCACACAGAAACGGCCTGCCTTCCCATTTGACTCAACCCTCAGGCAAGAGAGAGTTCTCCTATTGACAGGGCTGCATAGTCTCCCCGCCGGATCCTTTTGCAACTCACACTTGCACTTGAGAGGGGCCCACGGAACTGCACGCAGGAGTGCCCAGGATGCAAGCAGTGAGCCAGGGACAGAGTATAAGTCACAGGCCTTCCATCTCAGGAGACACACTGCTCTTGGACCGCTGAGGTACAGTGTCCACCCCCCACCCTGCAAAGGCTCTTCCTCCTTCAGTTTGGAGCAGGAAGTGGGGAGCTTTCCCCAGAGCTGATGTGTGCGCTCTGCTGCCCTTTGCACGAAGGCAGGCCCTCAAGCAGCGAGCTGCATCATTGGCTGCTCCTTGCTCCTGTTTCTGGGTGGGGCAGTTCTCCACCATGTGGGCCTGTCCTCCTCAGTGCAGGATGGTTAGCTTCCCTGGACTCTGACCAGCAGTAGGCTCAGTGTGGACTGAACCATCCCCATGCATTTCCAAAGGGGCCCTGGAGGAGGAGGTCCGTACCACCCCTGGCTGAGAATGTGATGAAGAAGGAAGCATACAACACAGGCTCTAGGATTGGGGAATGGCTAGTGGCCTTGAGTGGGGACATCTGAATGGTGTTTCTACCAGGGCAGCTTAAGGATATGCTGGTCTAGTTCAAGAAATTTCCTAAGGAGATGTGTTCAGAACGTATTATGTGCATAAAGGGGTTCTTGTATTTGATTT